CTGGTCAACCTCCTCCTGGCTCTCGCCAAGCTCGTCATCTGGCGATCCAGGCAGGAGGCTCTGGCCGGCAAGGCCCCCGGTGACCTCGGGGCGTTTTTCCTAGGTGTCCTTCGCGTGCGTCTCCGAGCGGAGCACCGCTGGGCAGTAGCCGCCGGCCAGCTGAAGCAGTTTGCCAGCCGGTGGGCGCTGTCCGGGGTGCTCTGCTCACTGACCCCCGGGGGAGCACTTGTTTTGAACCTTTGACCCTGCACACACACCCTGTTTTCTTATGAGTTGTCCCACGTAATTTTTGTGTAAAGATCGGGAGCCCAGCCGCCTTACTTTAGGTACAGTGGCGGCCCCCGAAGAATTTTTTTTTTGTCCAAGGTTCCAAGGAAAGACCTGCCCGGCAACCCGCCGGGTGCCAGCAACACTGACGGCCACCTAACGGGGGTGGCCCAAGGTTCCCAACTGGAAAAATTACAGAGGAACGACAATAGTGCCACCTTGGCTGAGGCCAGGCTGACCTCCTGAGCCCAACCTGGGTTGAGGAGCTGGGTCTTATTCCTGGAGGGCATGGTGAAGAAGAGGCAGGAGCTCCAGTCCCTGCCTGACAGAAGCAAGTCATGGAGTGGGATGTGGACAGTAATGACCCCTGGGGGAAAGGTTTGGATTTCCTTCCCCTTAAAACACCAGAGACTGACCTTACCCCATCTCAACAGCAGATAATTGCTGTCTGAGAGTTCAGATTTCCCCTGTCCAGAAGTCTGATGGACAGGCACAATTCTGAAAAAAATCCATTACAACTTGCCTTGTTCATAGTCCACTGTGCTAGACACTTCTCCCTAGGAACAAACACACATCACGGACCAGCTCTCCCCATTCCCCATCACTCTCACTCTGGGGATATGACAGTCAGGGACAAGGGCGATGGGTGTTTCCCCTCAAAGACTGGCAGCTGTGACTATTCACGGAAGAGGAGGTGCTGGCTTCCCAGGCTACATGGGTGGGCAACAGGCCAGACAACCATTGCCATTTTGTCTGAGGTAAGACCAATGTCCTGAGCTCTGCCTGGGTCAGGGAATTGGAGTTTGTAATCAGCAGGGAGAGGTGGGCAAGAGGCAGGAGCAACCAGCCTAAGTGTGACAATGACAAGCCCCAGAGCCACATGTGTGCAGTAACAACTGCTGGGGAAAATGTTTTTCCCACCACTGAAAAGATCTGAGAGGACAGAGGATTTCCTTTTCCTTGATACAGATGAAATGCAAAATCCTGAATACATACATCAGCTCCAAAAAACAACTCTTTTGTGTTAGGGTCACTCAGACTTTCCAATATGCGAGTATCTTTTCACTCATTTGATCTGCTTTTCTGTTTGATCATTTAGAAATCAACCATGAGGCCAGAGACAAAAAATCTTCAACTTTCCAAAGGTTTCCACTCCCTGCCAGGCAGGGGATGGGAAGAAAGCAATCAGTTGGGATGAGAGGCACAGGGAGGGAGGATCCCCCTTTCTCTGCCACTCCCCACAAGTGCGACCTAGGGCAACGTCTCCAAGGATATCCCTCAGCCAAGTCCAGCATGTCTTTGGGAGAGGAAAATATGCTCTGCAATGCCAGGACACCCACATACATGGCTGGACCTGCCCTGTGGAAACACCAGGTTCCAGCCTACAATTTACCTGTGTCCTGGGGCTGCTCAGTTGGACTTCCAGGCAGGCTGGGGTTTTGGCAGGACGTCAGCCCAGAGGTGAGGTCCTCCACTTTCTGCACAAGGTTTTCTTTCCCTCTGCCCAGCTGAGGCACTTAAAAATCAGAAGAGGACATTAGTGCCTGTTACAATACAGGCTGCAGTGGAGCTTCACAGACCCGATGCTCTCTCCTTTGCAGTGACCCAAACCCCTTAGTTGCACTAATACTATTTGCAGTTACAGCTACTGGACATTTTGTGGTGGAGCACTTTTTCTTATTGTAAAAATGAGGAATTAATGGAAACTGGGTTTGTTCCTTGATGGCTCACCTGCCCACCTACCTCCCTGCTTATCCAGGAGGAGCTTCAGGGGTGGCCCAGGACCCTGTCTACGAGGAAGCCCATGTGCAGGAAGGTGAAGGAGTCAGGGCTCCACTACAGCTTCCTTTCAGAGCTGCCTCAGAGCTGGGCTTCCAGTGGCTTCCAAGCCCCCAGACAGTAAGGGGAAGATTTCATTTTGGTAAGAAACATCCAGGCTCAGGCTCTGTGCTCCCCTCTGAGGGTAACAGAACTTCCAAACCAGCAAAAGCTTTGTTCCTTCGGGGGTTTTATGCAGAACTGAAATCCAGGTCTTCCCCTGCTTGACTTACCTTGTTTGGCAGAACCCTCCTGACTGGTCACAGAGCAAATTAGTAAACCCAAAGATGTATTGGTAAATATGTGGTGCTGTTTTAATGTTTCACAAATTCCTCTAGGTTTTGTCCCGTGGTCTGTGCTGAACATAGTAAGTGTGGATGTCATGTGTCTGCGTGCCACCATCTTCCATTAGGATGGATTATAAGGGATAAAGAACTTTATTCCCCATTAGAAAACTGCTCCTGTTTCCATTAGACTCTTATATTCCCCTCCCCACCCAATATGCCAACATGTTTAGGACATCTCTTGAAGTCCATTTACTCCACTGCTGCCCTCTTATCCACCTGGAGTACCTCAGTACATCAAAGAACTTTTCACAATATGGACATATTGGAAGGAATTTGTAGAGCAATTTCACCAGGACTTTGCCACCTGCCACCCCTCCATGAAACCAACTCTGGAATACTCTACCCAGCACATGCATTTCCTACATACTAAAGTGAGGTTTTGCAGTTGCCACTTCACCACCACCATGTATGACAAACCAACAGAATGCTGTAGCTACCTTTGTGCCATCAGCTTTTCTACTAAGCACACCATTAGATCCGTTCTCTATTGCCAAGCTGTATGTCGCAACCTTATCTACTCTGATCCCACCAACTGGGATGCATACCTTAAAGATCTGGAGCAAGGATTTTTTCCATTCCAATACAATTCCCAAATTGTCACTACTCAAATTAATAAAGTCAGACTCATCCTCCATTCCCACTGCCTGCAGTACCAACTCTGGAATTAGGATAACAGGATGCTTCCTGTTTTTGCCTACAGTCCCCAGGTTCAGCACGTGAGACATCATTACGGATGTCTAAACCTTCCTTGAAAAGCATAATTGTCTCTAGGTAGCCACGGGGGGTGGTAAATCTGCCCTGGCTTACTGACAGCCCCCAACTGTAAAAAATCTTGCTCAAGAAACAGATTACCTAACTCTTACCCTCACTGAGGCACCAAGCATTGCAATGGACCTAAATGCCTCCTGTGCCCCCATAGCAATTCAAGCCACATTGTCACTGGACTGTTAACAAGGAGTACAACATCCAAGGGTCACCCACCTGCTACACTGCCAATGTCATATCTGCTTACAGTGCCTGGCTGGTGCTACATTGGGCAGACAGGGTGATCTTGATGGGTAAAAATGAAAGCACACCAACCTGGCATCAGCTACAGAGACACCAGGGCCCATGTCAGAACACTTTAACCTCCCTGGACTCTCTATCAAAGACCTGAGGATTTCTGTGCTCAGGAAGCAAAAAAATGTAAAAAAACCAGTTTGAACAGAAAGTTGCAGAAAAAGAAATCACCCAAGAACTGGATTGTGTTAGTATGGTTTAACCTTCATATCTTTCCATGGGGTAATTTCTTGGGCTGTGCAAATCTTTGGTTCCTGATTTGATTTGGCAGCAATTCAGCATGATTCAGTGGCCAAATCTCCAAATCCAAATTGAATCAGAGGACACTTTAAACTCTCCAAATCAAATTGGAACCCTCCGAATTGATTCAAAGAGATTCAGAAAGATTCAGCGATCAGACATAGATACAGGTTTAAATGTTTTTCTACATATCTCTATGTAGCAGGCGGCTCTGGAATGCTGCAATGCTGGGGCGCATGGAGCTTCCCACAGAAGCACAGGGTGGGGGGTCCCCAGTCTATGGCTGAATTGCTGACTCTCCAAGTCAGCATCGAATCTTCAGATTCAGGTTTGGCCAAATCAAATCAGGGACAGTGATCTGAATCAACGAATCAAATCACTGTCCCTGATTCAGGCTGAATCCAAACTGAATAGGGTCCACTTCACACACCCCTAGCAATTTCCTACCCCAGACACATATTTTGTGCAGTATCTTAAACTTAATTAATTCTATTTTTTTTTCTTTTTAGGACATTGTCACTGGCACTGCAGTGCACGATAGCCCCAAAGAACAGCCAGCTTACAAGAATGATTTGCTCTCTGTAGATGAAAAACTGAAAAACAAGGTAACGTGTTACCCCAGGTGTGAATGTGTTTTTCCATATGGGGTAATAATGGCAAAACTCCACCTTACCTGACTCTTTCATAACATACAAGCTAGTTTGCCCTGCGTTTGTTGGAAATGAGGACAAGGAGCAAAGGGACAGCAGAAAAGTAGTAGAACAGCATCATACTGCAATACAGCATACACTATGGAGTCCCCTTCAATGGTAAGGGCTTGACCACCAATGACCCTTTTACGGGCTCTCAATAAACCCCTGCATGGGTGGTTTCCAAACAGCATCCACCCACATTTGGCTTGTCTGTAAAGGGTAGGTGCTGGCCTCTGGCTTCTGTGCCCAGAAGGAGAAAGTGCTGCCTGCGCTGCCACAGGGCAATGTGGAATTGGTTCTGTGACAGCATAGGTGGACAGGCTTGTCTTTGATTGTTATTTATACGCATTCAGTGGTAATAATTTTTATCTTTTTTTTCTGCAGTCCAGGATGAGAAGGCAAGTGCATACTCAGTGCTGAAGCCTATCTTGCACAGGTAACTGGGGATGACAGTGACACATCCACTGATGAAATCTAATTCCAAGGCAGTGAGCAGGAGTTGGTATCACAAGCAGAAGTGATGCCAAGACTTTCAGTGGGAAAGGGAAGAGAACCAGCCCTGGGGTGCTGTGGAAGACTGAGGAGAGCTATAGCATGTCATGGAGCAGAACCACTGCCACCGCCCCCAGAAAACATTGCAGATGATGACACAGTTAGAGGAAGGAATGGCAGAGTGTGGGGAAAATGTCCACAGTTAATACATCATCGGAGAACAGTCAATGACATAGTCCATGAAACTGCTGGGCCAACAAGAGAAAGTAATAAAGACACAGTGGTATAAATGCTCCACCTTTTTCTCTCACAGGATATGCTGACTCTTATCAGAAGACAAGCAAACAGAGAGTAAGAAAGAAGATTCAGGGAGTGGAATGATAGCCATCCTGAAAATAGAAAGAAGCCTACATTGGCCTCCTACTGCTGAGTGGTCTATACCACGGTGGTCAAGAGGCACTGAAGGAGTTGTGGGAACAACGCACTGGGTGTCCTTGCTTCCGTGCCACCATGAGTTTAAAATTATTCTATCAAATCACCAACTACCTGAGATTTGACAATAAACTGACATGTGAGGAAAGGGGAGCTGTGGACAAGCTTTCTGCCTTCAGAGATATTTGAACACAATTGTGGAGCACTCAGAAAATTGTATATTCCAGGAATACACCTGGCGGTTGATGAACAGCTCATTGCATTCAGGGGTCACTGTCCATTCAGACAGTATATGCCCAGCAAGTCTGCCAAATATGGCTTGAAAATTTGGTGGGGCTGTGATGCAGCAACATCATCCTCCCTGTCTGAAGAAATCTACCTGGGCAAGCAACCAGAAGCTCCACGCCAAGGTAATCTTGGTATCCAGGTCACTGAAAAATGTGTTCATCCCTGTTTAATAAAACATCCCTGGTACAAGACAGCAAGGAAAATTGTGGGTGAAAGTTTCTTCACAAGTACTGCCCTGGCAGAAACACTGCTACAGCAGGACTTGACCTATGTGGGTACGATTCAGAAAAAACAAGGCTGATCTGCCAAACTAAATGAAAGCAAATCGAAGAAGGGAAACTTTTTCATCCATTTTTGTATCTTAGTTAGTTACTCTGTAAGGTGCGTATCTGCCCTGCATTCTGCCTGACTTCAGGCAAGCACACAGCTTGCTACCTCTCTCTGAAAATAGTAGCACAAGGATTTAAAACTGAAATGCAGCACTGTGGGTTCCTTGGAATTAAAAGTTTTCCTCAATTTACATTTTTTCTTGTTTTTAAATGTCATTCAGGTGTGTCTGAGCTATACCAACCACCCTAGAAAAGAATTATTTTAGGAAAAAAAATATTTTTGTGTTCTTTAAATATCTTGCTTCATCCAAAATAAAATGTATCCCACTTTGGATTCTCCAAGAATTACAGAAAGGATTTCAAACTACCAAAACTTATTTTCTTGATTTTTCAGATTTCCCTGCAGATCAAATACTCCCTGTCTTTCTCCAAAATGATTAGTTAGACTCCCTCCATCCACTGCTAAGACAGAGAAATTGAGTCGCTGGACATATGAAAAGTTTTGACAGAGGACCGACCAGGAAACCCTCAGTATAAGAAGATCTAATTTCACACATTAGCCAGGGTGGAATAAAGACCTCAACAGAGTTAGAGAAACATGGAACAAGGGCAGAAAGTTTCTGTTCTCTCTGCTCCTCTGGGATCCTGGAGTTTTTACAGACCTTAGTAACGTTGTCTACATTTTGAATCCATGCTCACTTGAAAAATTCTGCCCCCAAAACTCCTATCTACACTCCTGCTGCTCTCTCACTTACTTCTGCCTTGGCAAATTTTACTGCCATTCACTACACTTCTCTCCTTGCTCATCTAGTTCATTCCCCACCTAGAAACTTCACCACTTCCCACCTGAAGCCTTTGATCTGCATGGCATTTCTGTTACGGGTTACCTTGGGAGTTATGAAAGAAAATATACACCCCCTTGGCCAACTGGTCTCTCAGGTGAGAGTTATCTGTACCACAGCTGTGAAGGCACCCTGAGCAAAGAAAACATCTCCTCTTCACATTAGTAGAGATATTTTGTGTCATCAAAATTTCTTAACTGACCTGTTCATATTTAACTGACCTGTACATATTTAACCCCTACTTGTCTGTACATGTTTACAGAAAATCATAGGTCAAGCTGGGATCCTATTGCACACTTACCTTGAGCACCGTAGACCCTGGCAGTGATCAGGAAAAGCAGGCACAGTGTCATGATCCCAAGCACCAGGGGAATTGGTGACCACAGGAGAGATGGCTGGGTGGGCTCGATCACAGAAAAGGAGAAAAAGGAATTGAAAAGAGATGAGAAGGGAAGGCTTCCCACCTGAGAGGAGAGGTTGGGCTGGAGTGTTGGAGCTTTTCCAAACTAAAAGAATCATCATCCTCCATAAGGCAGAGAAGCAAACTGCCCAAAACTGGCCAGGCACTGGGTCAAGAGGCCTACAAGAATATTAAAGGCAGCAGTGTGTGCACAAGTCCAGGAAAGCTAGGAGATGCATTTCCTTTCTTCCAGGTATCCACGGGCAGGTTTCACACCTGAGTTTGACACATAACATGGCCTGAACCTAAGATAAGTATTTCAGGAATAAAACCTGCACAAGTATGAAGTGTTTTGGGTGCAAAACATAGGCGTATTATGAGCAGTACTGGAGTGTGTGGATTCAAGAATGTACAGAGTATAAAGGGTGGTAGTGGCCAGACTCATGCTTCACAACACGGCGTAGCTGCTGCAGCCATGCCCATCACCTACAGGAGCCCCCTCTGAGACCCAAAAGAAAGAGCAACAGCACTGAGGGAGGGCAGGAGGGTTTCTTGTTTGTTTTTACTGGCTCTGAGGTGGAAGAGAGGAATCAGAAAGGCTGAGCTTAAATCCAAGCTGAATGCACATTATTGTCCCACAGCCCCTCTCTGTCACACGCTGTACCTCTGCACTTGACATGGGAGGGGGTCTGTCTCTGGTGCCCTGGAGGAGTTCACATTTGCACGTCTGACATAGTGTCCTCCTGCTCATGCATTTCCAGTGGGTTCCAGCAGAGACGATTCATACATGACTGAAATGCATTCAGGGGTGGGATGTGAGAAGGAACTGGTACGTCTAGGAGTGACTCAGACACAGCAAGTGCAGCCACGTGGTGCTACAGCTGAGAAGAAATGGTTACTTGTCCTGAGAGAATGATCGTGGTTTCCAAACACGTTGCCATTGCAAGTCTGAGCAAAAGGGATAAAGATTTCAAATAATATTGCAAAATAAAGAGTGGAAGAGAAAAAGAGAGAGACAGAGAGAGAGAGAAATTCCCTCTTGAAATGGCAGCATCCTTTACAATCTCATTGGATACAGGAGACCCAAGATCTCTCAGAATATTCCTAACTGGCTGTCCCAAGGCCCCAGAATTGAAGTTCTCAGAAACCATTGCCTTGGCAGTGGCAGGTTACTGCATCACTGCTGAATAATGCAGCCAGCTGTGGCATCCAGGGTAATGGTTTCTTAGATAAGAAGCCAGTAAAGGACTAAGACCAAGCTCAGTAATTTCACCCTTTACCTTCTGTTGTTTCATAGACTCATAGAAAATTAGGGTTAGAAGGGGCCTCAGAAGGTCATCTAGTCCAAACCCAGCTCAAGGCATGACCATTCCCATCTAGATCATTCCAGCCAGGGCTTTGTCAAGCCAAGCCTTAAAAACCTCCAAGGATGGAGAGTCCATCACCTCCCTAGGTAACCCACTCCAGTGCTTCACCACCCTCCTAATGAGAAAGTTTTTCCTAATATCCACCTTAAAACCCTCTTGCTGCAACTTGAGACGGTTGCTCCTTGTTCTGTCATCTGCCACCACTGAGAGCAGTCTAGCTCTGTCCTCCTTGGAACCACCCTTCAGGCACTTAAAGGCTGCTATCGATTCCCCTCACAGTCTTCTCTTCAGCAGGCCAAATAAACCGAGTTCCCTCAGCCTCTCTTCAGTAGTCATTTCCCCAGCCCCTGAATCATTTTCACTGCCCTTTTCTGGACTCTCTCCAACCTGTTCACATCCTTTCTATTGTGGGGGCCCCCAAACTAGACACAATACCCCAGATGTTGCATCACCAGAGCAGAATCGAATGGACCAATAGCTTCTCTGAATCTGCTGGCACTGCTCCTTCCAATGTGGCCCTGTCTGCTATTAGTCTTCTTGCTTCCTCCTGCTGTCCCAGCACAAGACCCCAGCCTTTCTAGAGATATAGCCCAGGCAGTCGTCCCTCCAGCTGAACATGACTGCCTCCCCACCGCAGCTCCTCAGAACAGACTTAGACTGTATTATAACACAAATCCCTCCTCCTCCTTTCAGAGAAGAACAGCTGAATCCTGCCTCCAGCCCTGCTCTCATAAAGCCACAACAGCCCTGCCTGGACCCAGTGGAAAGCGTACCTGCATGTGTATCCACAGAGATGAGTGTTAAAGAACACAACTCAAGAGCGGCACATCCAACTGGCTAGTGTGTGCTGCGTGTGAGTGCAAGTTTGTGCAGGGAGAGGAGCTCAGAGGCCGTGTGTGACATGGGGTTTTCTGTCACCTCACCCTGCTCGAAGGGGCCTAGCGCTCCCAGGACAGGAAGATTGACTGACTCTCCTCTGTTCCAATAAAACTGCTCAGGAAGTCTTTCCTTCTGCCATGAAATGTGCTGCTCTTGCACACACAGTTAAACACATTACCCTATAGCACACATAGCAAAGTCACCTGGACTGGCTGAGGGACAGCCAAGGGAGTGTGGATGGGAATGCAGCCCAGGCCATGGGCAGCTGTGACAAACAGACAAGTGTCTAAAGAGGAGTGTGAGAAACAGGTACCCAGTGGCAAGCTCTGCTTTTCTCTAAAAAACTTAGGACCCTATTTCAGGTGGCTTGGATAGGATTTTCAATGCAGGCTAATAGACTTTAGTACCCACTGTCCATGCCTTTTCACAGGAATCAGTGGATTCTGGGAACCTATTTGTCTTGGGGGCTCTGAGAACCCAGGCCTTCCTTGAAGCATGAGAGAAAGGTCTGGGTAGAAAAACAAGATCCATGGGACATTCCCTGCTCAGCACTTGTGAAGGTCTCTCGCCGCCTGTACACAGGAAACATGGTAGACTTTGTATACCTAGTCTTCCAAAAGGCTTTTGATCTAGTATCCCATGATATCCTTCTGGGAAAAATGCAAGATTGTGGGCTCAGCTATTTGAAGGTTCAGTGGGTGGGAAACTGGCTACAGGGTAGGACCCAGAGAGCTCTCATGAACAGATCTGTGGCGTCCTAGTGCAAAGTGGCCAGTGGTGTTCCTCAGGGGTCTGTGCTTGGACCGGTGCTTTTCAACATCTTTATCAATGATTTGGATAGGGGAGTGAAAAGGTCACTGGCCAAGTTTGCGGATGACACCAACTTATGGGGCAGTGTGGTCACACCAGAAGATAGGTTGCAGATACAGGCGGACATGGACAGGCTCGAGAGTTGGGCAGACCGGAACCAGATACAGTTTAACACTTCCAAGTGTAAGGTGCTCCAACTGGGGGCAAACAACCCTCAGCACATATACAGGCTTGGTGGTGACACTTTGACTTGCACCACAGCCAAAAGGGACTTGGGGTTAGTGATTGACCATCATATGTCAGTGTGATGCCGTGGCCAGCAGGACAAACAACACTCTGGCATGCATTAACCGATGCATCTCATGTAAAACTAAGGAAGTGATACTCCTGCTGTACTCAGCACTGGTGAGACCGCAGTTGAAGTACTGTGTTCAGTTCTGGGTGCCACACTTCAATAAGGATGTGGAAAAACTTGAGAGGGTCCAGAAAAGAGCCACCTATATGATCAGGGACTTGCAAGGCAAGCCATACAAGGATAGGCTGATGGACCTGGGCCTCTTTAGCCTAAAGAAGAGAAGGTTGAGAAGGGACATGATAGCAGCTTACCGTTATATCAGAAGAGTGCATCAGGAGCTCGGTGAACAACTAATTGTTCACTAGGGCACCCCCGGGGAAGACCAGAACCAATGGATACAAACCCTGGAAGGCTGCTTCAGGCTTAATACCAGGAAAAACTCCTTTACAGTCAGGGTGTCCAGACTAGGGCTGGGGTGAGATTGCATGTGGTTCATTCAGGGGGAGGATCCCCACCATTGTGCACACTTGCAGGAAGTGGGTAATGGAGGGGCACATGCCCTCCAAATTTTTGCATGGAGCAGGGGAAGATGAAGGCTGTCTGCTGTGAGCTTGGGGCTCCTTGCCCTGCTGCCCTTTACCTGGGGCTGCCTCAGCAGAGCGGGACACAGAGGATTGATGCTGCTGTTGGGATCACCATGCCAGGTGCGCCACCATGGCGAGGTTCATAGATTCATAGATTCATAGATGTTAGCATCAGAAGGGACCTCAATAGATCATCGAGTCCAACCCCCTGCATAG